GTGGCATGGAGATGATCAGTTTGTGGCACTGCTGCGGTGGTATGGAAGCCCAGGTTTCTTTGACAGTGGCCTTCAGCTCATCTGCATTTTTTGGTCTCTTGTTTCTCATTTTACGCTTGACAATACCCCATAGAGAATGGGGTTCAGGTCTGGGGAGTTTGCTGGCCAGTCAAGCACACCAACACCAGGGTCATTTAACCAACTTTTGGTGCTTTTGGCAGTGTGGGCAGGTGCCAAATCCTGCTGGAAAATGAAATCAGCATCTTCAAAAAGCTGGTCAGCAGAAGGAAGCATGAAGTACTCCAACATTTCTTGGTAAACGGGTGCAGTGATAAATGAACTTTTCCACGACATTCTAATTTATTGAGATGCACCTGTATGCTGCTTAGAAACGGCTTACAAGTGTTTTCTGTTTACTTGTAGCATACTAATTAGCAGACAGTGACCAGTGTTGGGGGTAACGCATTACAAGTAACGCGAGTTACGTTATCAAATTACTTTTTTCAAGTAACTAGTAAAGTAACGCATTACTTTTTTAATTTACAAGAAAATATCGGAGTTACTTTTTAAAAAAAGTAACGCCAGTCACTTTTTCCCATTTATTGACTGACAAGTCTCCTGTCCCCATATTGGGAGAAATTGGAAGAAAAAAGGAGAAGTGTTAGGATTAGTATTATAAACCACACACAGATTTAGTATTCATCAAAATGAATTAAAACAGTGAAATGCAAACTCAGAATATGACGCAAACCTGCAATAATTAAATGTTAAATAACACAAATGTATCTAATCCCATTTTATTAACCAATATCTTTGCTGCTGACCTTTGATGATCCAGTTCAACCATACTAATAAGCAAAAATGACTTTAGATAAACTAACAATTGTGCTTCATTGTTTTTTTATTGCTGAAGAGTGTTTCTTCTCCTGCGTTCTACTGTACAGACGTGAATTTACTTTTCCTTCAGCCTGAGGTTTATTCATTACACTTTTTGGTGTGAAAGGGCTTTTACATTTGCTATAAATAGAACTTTTTATATTAAAAACAATCAAGCCCTGCTAATATTTTAAAAATAATGTGAAAGTAACGCAAAAGTAATGGAACGCATTACTTTCCATAAAAAGTAACTAAGTAACGTAATTACTTACTTTTTTAGGGAGTAATGCAATATTGTAATGCATTACTTTTAAAAGTAACTTTCCTCAACACTGACAGTGACTTCCCATTACAATGTAGGTACTTTGTTAAAGACACAATGGTGTCTGGTGACTGTCACACAGGTGACTGTGACTCATTCCCACTTGATTCTGGACATGTAACCTTGTCACATTGTTATTTGTCCTGAATTGTTGTAGTATTGATGATGAACTATTTCATTCTTTCTACATTCTTACAGGATGGTGTTCAGTAGAGTAGCGGTGCAGAATATTTTGGCAGGTGGCTGCGGGTGCCGCAGTTCGGATGCCCCCGATGACATGGTGCTAGGGATGTGTCTGACCGCACTGGGGCTCCTAGTCACACACAGCCCACTTTTCCATCAGGTAGCATACACACCCGCACACCGACAACTCGCATGTTGTCTTTATCTGTGCTGCTCTACAGCAGCAAAAACACAAGTAAATTTGTGCAGAGCAGCAAATAAGCTGAAACCTGTGGGTACAAATGTGAAGAGCAGTCCTGAGTTTATTACACAGCAGAATTGAAGGTACAGGCAGACAGGAAGACAGATTCATTTATATTTTGGTTTGCATTCCCAAGACCCAGAACCTCATTTATAAAATGAATTTCCTATTTGATCCTAAATTTCATGGATTTGATTGTAAATTAAAGGATCTATTAAAGATAGATGCTTATATGAGAAATGTAGTTATTCATTGAAAAGCTTGCCAGACATACATTACCTTTCAAAAATTTGTGGTTGGTAAGATGTTTTTAAAAGAAATCTCTTATGCTTGCCAAGGCTGCGTTTATTTGATCAAAAATACAATAAAACGGTTATATTGAGAAGTATTATATTCATTTAAATTAACTGTTTTGCTTTAATATGCTTTAAAATGTAATTTATTCTTGTGATGACAAATCTGAATTTTCAGATGTCTTTACTCCTGTCCTCAGTGTCACATGATTCTACAGAAATTCTTCTAAAATGCCGATTTGGTGCTCATAAAAACATTTTATTATCAAACCTGAAAATAGTTGTGCCTTCTGTGACACTTCTTTTTTCAAAATCCTTTGATGAATAGTTCAAAAGAACAGCATTTATTTGAAATGGATTTTTTTTGTAACATTATAAATGCCAAGTTCTGTCATAAAACAAAACTTGGTGCAGGCTGATGGGACGTTAACGCAAACTGATGATATTCACAACATTAAACTACTTGGCACAAGCTGATTGGTTCATGTTGCATACGCAGTCAATGAGCTTGCTGCTTTACATTTAAATGGCTGGTTAGCATTCACTAGAGCATTTCGCAGGGTGCTTTCAGAGTTCCTCTGAAACCCTTCACCTTCCCCAGCTCCACCTGTATAGATCTGCTAAGGATTATTTATATGCGCTATTTGTGAAGCAGAAGTATGTCTTAAATTAATACATGCTCGTATGTATTGGCAGTAACAAGTTCCTGTACTTGCTTTGAAGCAGCAGCAATAATCTTCAACAACAGCAATAACCAACAGCAGCAGCAATTCTGGAGCATAGCAGATCTATTCCGCCAAGACCAAATGTATTAACATTGTCATATCCATTACCATGCTAAAATCTTCAGAGAGTTGTCATGATAGAAATGTCTTTACTGTCACTTTTCACAAATTTAATGCATACTTGCTGATTAAAAGTATTAATTTCCTTCAAAAACAGTAACCTTACTGACCCCATACTTTTGATCGGTAGTGTGACCACCATTCACTTTCTTTTTGTGTAAAAAGCAGCTTACATATTTTTCTGCTAGCTACTCCCTTTTTTCCACAGCAGAAGAAAGAAGTAATATGGGTTTCAAACAATATGAGGGTAAATAAATTATGACAATGTTAGTTTCTGGGTGAAATACACTTTTAAAAGGCATAGAAGTTGTTGAAATTTAAATTCAAAAGAGAATTAATAATGGCAGGAAAGGACATAAAAAGTTTAAATGTACATAATTTTTATAAATTGTGCAGAATAACATTTGGGAAATGATATGGTCACAATTAGGACAAGTGCCTTTATATATGACTGAGCTGTGTGAAACCGCTGGTGTAATCACATGGTCTCCTTTTTGAACAAAGGCTCGTCCACAAGATTATGTAAAAGAGCTTCTGGCACGACAAAGCCCAATCTCCTTTCACAAACACTGGAACATCAACCCCGTGGCCGTCTACCAGCACTGGCTTGCAGAGCCCAACCAGAGGAGAGCGCACTCACTCACAAAGACAAGAGAGGAGCTGTAGATGGAGCTTATGGAGTGAGTTTGTGTTTTTAATTTAATAATTTGATACTCTAGAAGCATTTAAAGACACCATGCAATCGAAAAATTAATCATACAGTATATGTTTTGTTAAAAACATTCCTCTTATTATTATAAATAATTAATTGGTTCATGCTATTCCAAAAATTCATATCACAGTCTGATAAATTTCCTACCCACTTTTTTTCTTTTTGAATATTTTGTTCAGAAACTCATATCTCACAATACAGAAGTAAACTGGGTTGCGAACATGGTTTCATATTGACATTAAGATAAGAAACTGTCATATCCGTGATGATGATGATGCTGTTAAGAACGGAAGTTGTGGTTTTAGATAAATTGTATACATTCAGATGCAACATTTTCTATTCTACATTGGGATTACACAGATTGTGTTGAATTTGATCATTGAAATAGAAACTTAAAACTTGTTCACTCTCTTATTGAGAGTTAAATACGGTGGCCGAGAGAGCTCAACGCGCTGCAACTTAAGAAAACACATGCAAATTGAAAAAACACCAGCAAATTAAGAAAACATCTTCATCAGTTTGACAACACACGCGCTGCAAATCCTCACAACACATGCAAATGAAGAAACGCTGCAAATCCTCACAACACATGCAAATGAAGAAACGCTCTGCAAATCCTCACAACACATGCAAATGAAGAAACGCGCTGCAAATCCTCACAACACATGCAAATGAAGAAACACTCATTTGCATGTGTTGTGAGGATTTGCAGCGCGTGTGTTGTCAAACTGATGAAGATGTTTTCTTAATTTGCTGGTGTTTTTTCAATTTGCATGTGTTTTCTTAAGTTGCAGCGCGTTGAGCTCTCTCGGCCACTGTAGTTAAATCTATTTGTTCAGTACAAGTATAAATCCCTTTATCTGTTCTACAATATAGTAAACTGAGATACTTATATGCACCATTTACGATGTGATATATGTCACTGTTATGCTGTCTCTATGCATGCGTGTAAAAGCAGAGTGATTTAAGAGCATTTAGACTACTGTAAAACATAGAAAAGTATAGTTGTCAATACATGCACAGAAGAAGCTGTATCACATTTCACCTCTCTCCAAATTAAAACAACTGAAATAAAGTTAAATTTCAAATTGAAAGTAAAAGTGACCTCTTCTTGAATAGGACTGTGACTGTACAAAACGTTTATAAGCATTTACCATCATAAAACCTGCAGAAACCCTGTAAGGACTCGTCATTTATTCCAGGTGTAATGCATCAATGTTTCTAATTTTGTGCTTTCAACATGTTCACCTTTTTTAACTTCATTATTCTGAACACTTGGATAGACTTCAGAAAAGCGGCAGTTTAACACCTGTTTGTTAGGTCTGATGATTTAGATATTCCAGTATTAAACTAAAGGACTCTTACAGTCTAAATAAGACGAGACTTTCTGTTTGCTTGTGGTTTGATTAATTAATTAATAAATTTTCTACTTTGCATAGAAAGACATTCTTTGTGTAGGAATTAATTTTGTGTTTTGTCCGGCATGCTGTCCAACCACACTTTTTACCTATTTACATCACAGAATAAGCTGTTGGAAGACAGCAGAGAGTTTCTTCCCTGAAACTACACAGGCATGTTAAGGCGAATCCTGAACTTTCTACTTGGGGTGAATGACATCTTAACTCAGAGATCATCATTTGGCTGTTCATAGCGAATAGAAAAAAATAGTCCTCGTTGTCTTTTTCAGTGCCAGCTTATTGACAGCAGAAAGACAATCTGAAACAATGAAAAAACAGTAACACTAGAACAATGAAAAGAAGAATTTAGTGAACTTTCAAAGCCCCATGGAAATCATGGAGAACAACAAGAAATAGATAACATCTCGGTTACATGCTTAAAGACCCTCAAGGCGCATTTATTATTTCTCTATATTTTTTCTGTTTAGAAATGTATTATAGTTAAAACATGATTTATTTCCCTCCTGGACTACTAACAAGCTCTGGAGTGGAGACTTGAGCTCTGTTCCAAAATCCTCTGAGCTAAGTCTTCTGTTTGTTCGGGCAGTGACTAAACCAAAGTTCATGACTGATTTGAAGATTATCCTGGGTATCAACTCCCTTGCATGACTCAAATTGTGCTCCTCATGTGAATGGATCGAAGACTAGATTCTCTAATAAGCACCGAAAATGCATATTTCAATTTTTTTGTTTTATTATAATTTGATTAATTTTATTTTATTACATTTTATTTTAAACTTTGTAATTTGTATTAATTTATCAAACTTTTTTTTAAGTAGATGTAATTATTTAGAGTGAACAATAAAATAAACGTAGAACTGTCACCTTGAAATTTCCTCACTGCTGAAGCATTAATATATTATATAAGAAAAAATAGAAAATTATCTTGTGCTAAAGTTGGCTAAACATTTTAATGTCTTCAGCCGAAAATACGTAATGCTACAGAAAATATTAGAAATATTAGACCGAGTAATATATTTCTACTCTAAAAATAGTTTTAATATAGGGCAGTGTGTGTTAATATGTGGGAATTTTCTGTATTTATTATTTTTTTATAAATTGTATTAATTTTTTAATTTTTTTGCAGGTGCTTTATCTGTGTTTTGAAGTTTTTAGCACTGAATTGCATTGTGTTTTAGAGTTAATGGAAATGTCTGTAAATTTAATGGAAAATGTCTTCCAGAAAATTTGTAGTACATTATTTATATATATATATATATATACAGTGTATATGTGTGTGTAACTTTTGAATTATTCAAGGATATATCTGTCATTCATTAACACCACCAACCTCAACAGTTTTCTTGCGAGGAGGTCTTTTTCTTTTTTAAATATATTGTGTTCAATTGTCTAGGGATAGTCATTGTGTTCTTCTGAAGAAGAAAAACTTCTTGTCCCTCCCCTTAAGGCAGACGATTTTGCTCTGATACCTTGGCAGCATTTGATATAGGATTCAGTTGGCTACACTGTGACTCTTTAGAAGCACCATTATTCACCCTGGCAAATCTCCATTTACTTGACTGAGGTGCCAGATTCTTTCTCTACTTTTGAAACTAGAACATCCTTTTACATTGTTGTAACCATTGCTAGATGATGTGTACATGCATCCACCTTGTCTTGAAATCTATAAGAGAAGGAGATTTAAATGTAAGTATTAGCATTTCTGTTCTGGAAATTTATTATTTTGTTTACTGCTGATATGGTGGATCAGTGGACCCAGGGAAAGAAGCTTAAAGAAACTAGGATGTGTTTTGGGCATCATTCAGTATTTGAGCTTATATGTGCAAAGTCATTCACAGCAAGAGAGCTGAACTCATTTTCTGTTGTATGAAAGATGACAAAATGTATAACAAGGAAAAACTCGCAGAACTGCACTCTTGCTGAGATACTTTCTGATTAAATTTTTTTCAAAGTTTGTCAAGGTTTTTGTGTTTCTCTCTTGCTGCTCTGTATAGATAATACTATAAATTTCCATGCAGAGTAGAAAAAATACTATCATGAATAGAAAGCCTTAGGATTCAGCTGTTTTAACTTATATTAATTGAATCAGTCCTATCATTTAAATAGTAAATTTTTTCATGTGTTTTTATTTGAGTCCAATGCCTCTTAAATTTGCTAAATGGCCATATAAATATGTGATTAAACTTGATGGAAGTGGAGCACAAAGTTTTGTTGTTTTTTTTTTTTTGGTCTGTTTAAAAAGAGTTTTTGCTTTAGAAGTTATTTTCAAAGAATCGGTAATGCTCTAGTTAAACCGTGACCAATGAAGCGATGTTATCGTTATTCTATAGTGGTCTGTGCTAATTTAGTTTTATGTTAACTTGCCTTACTTTCTTCTTCCTTTCTCAGACTCCGACTCAGACCCAACTTTATTGTCCTGTTTAGGGAAACTAGGATTGCAACGAAGTGCCAGTACACTAACCACAATCCATGCACACATCACCATTTCACCTATAAAAACATACAATGTAACATACAAATTCCCAAAACATACATTCAAATTTATTAAACACTGTTCAAATTCATACATTTTGAATACCAAATACATTCTCCTCCCCACCAGACTTGTTCAATAACTTAATGGCCACAGTAACAAATGACTCTTTAGTTCTTTTCAACCTGCATACAGGGACTCTAAAACGATGGCCTGATGGTAACATCTGAAACTCAGTATGTAGTGGATGATCAGTAGTACAAAGAATAACCTGGGCTTTCTTAAAAACAGAATTTTGAAAAATTTCAGCAGGCCCAGTTTGATTAACACCGATAATAAATCTTTGTTGAACCTTTTTACAGACAGCCAAAGCATTGAATTGGAAAGTCAACTTATTGTCTATCACCATGTCCTTCGTTTTATTAACATTCAACTGAAGAGAAAATTGGTCACACCATGAAACAAAGTCCTCCACGACAGGACCATGCCCCAGATCCTGATTGTGGAAAAGACTCACAATCACTGAATCATCTGCATATTTTATGATATAACTATTCTCATACATGCTCCGGCAATCATTTGTATGCATAATAAACAAAAGGGGTGAAAGACAACAGCCTTGAGGAGACCCAGTAGAGCAATATTGAAAATCAGAATGAGCACCATTAACTCTAACACATTGAAGACGTTCTACTAAAAAGTCCAAAATCCATCCAGAAATATTAAGATCCAAGTTAAAAAGAGAAATTAATTTCTCTACCAGCAAATGTGGCTTTATTGTGTTAAAAGCAGAAGAGAAATCAATAAATAAAAATCTAGCATGGGTCTTGGTCCTTTCCAAGTGTCTAAACAGATAATTCAGCAAGGTAAGGTTAGCATCCTCAACTCCCCTACCCTGTCTAAATGCAAACTGCAGTGGATCAAGTCTATCTTTTGACTGCTGTAAAATTTCACCTTTAACTACTTTCTCAAAACATTTCATAACTAATGAAGTAAGAGCTACCAGCCTGAAATCATTTAGCTGCTGTGGAGACCTAGTCTTAGCTACAGGAACTATAATATATATATTTTTTTAACAAATTTCAGGAACTCTTTGTAACATAAGAGACTGGGTGAAAATGTAATGAATTTCACACAGCTGTTTAGCACATGTATGTAACACCTCCAATATTATCATCTTTTTCTGATATTTCGAACTTATTACAAAAATGACTAAAATAAAAAACACTATTATACAGGATTTAAAGGAACACTCCACTATTTTTGAAAATAGGCTCATTTTCCAACTCGCCTAGAGTTAAACAGTTGAGTTTTACTGTTTTCGAATCCATTCAGCAGATCTCCGGGTCTGGCGGTAGCACTTTTAGCTGTAGCTTAGCATAGATCATCTTCATAACTAATGAAGTAAGAGCTACCAGCCTGAAATCATTTAGCTGCTGTGGAGACCTAGTCTTAGCTACAGGAACTATAATATATATTTTTTTTTAACAAATTTCAGGAACTCTTTGTAACATAAGAGACTGGGTGAAAATGTAATGAATTTCACACAGCTGTTTAGCACATGTATGTAACACCTCCAATATTATCATCTTTTTCTGATATTTCGAACTTATTACAAAAATGACTAAAATAAAAAACACTATTATACAGGATTTAAAGGAACACTCCACTATTTTTGAAAATAGGCTCATTTTCCAACTCGCCTAGAGTTAAACAGTTGAGTTTTACTGTTTTCGAATCCATTCAGCAGATCTCCGGGTCTGGCGGTAGCACTTTTAGCTGTAGCTTAGCATAGATCATTGAATCTGATTAGACCGTTAGCATCTCGCTCAAAAATGACCATAGAGTTTCTATATTTTTCTTATTTAAAATTTGACTCTTCTGTAGTTACATCGTGTACTAAGACCAACGGAAAATGAAAAGTTGCGATTTTCTAGGCAGATATGGCTAGGAACTATACTCTTATTCCGGCGTAATATTCAAGGAACTTTGCTGCTGTACCATGGATGCAGCAGGTGCAATGATATTATGCAGCGCCTGAAAATAGTCCCCAGGTCACGTTGGTTATGTTGACGGAAGTCAGCCTATTTTCAGGCGCTGCGTAATATCATTGCTACCGCCAGACCTGGAGATCGGCTGAATGGATTAGAAAATGGTAAAACTCAACTGTTTAACTCTAGGGGAGTTGGAAAATGAGCCTATTTTCAAAAATAGTGGAGTGTTCCTTTAAATGCTTTAGATATATCAAATGGCTCTGTGCTATCTGTAAATCTAAGGAATGTTATCTCTACAAGACATTGGATTTACTCCAAAAAATTGCAGAGGGAACAATTTGAAAATTTATTTTCAAAAGTACTTGTTTGAAATAACAAGTTGGCTGAGATGAAGGATGCAGTGGCTTTTTATTTGGCCATTAGTGTATTACTTTTGCCTTCTGTGCTCAAACACAGCACACGTTAAAGGGTTAGTTGACTTCCAGAATGAAAATTCTGTCATCATTTACTCAACCTCCACTTGCTCCAAACATGTGTTGAGTTTCTTTCTTCTGTTGAACACAAAAGAGGATATTTTGAAAAATGTTGGTTTACTATGGAAGTCAATGGTGCCCATCAACTGTTCAGATACTAACATTTTTCAAAATATTCTCTTTTATGAGGATAATATCATCCTTTAAAGAGCAGGATGGACCTGATTGATGATGCTAAACCGCACAAG